GAAGAAGAGGAAGAAGAAGAAGAAGCACACTTCTGTAGTCATCGTTTTGCCGTCACAGTCTTTTAAGAATTCTGCAGGAGCAAACTTCATCAACAGACCCTATACCCAGCTCCTATTAAGAACCTCCGAGCTGCCCCCACTCACCATGACCCACGTCTCAACCACACTCCGCAGCCTCCGTGCACCTGGGCCCCACCTCCCCGCAGCAGCACTTTCAGTCTACTCCTGTCTTGCCATCCCAGACTGGGCCACAGAGCTCCGACACCCGGCGGGCTGCCCCGTGGCTGGCACTCTCTCAGCTCTGTTCCCTCAGTAGCAAACCCCATCCCGAAGGACACTGTCACTGTCCCGCCCCCGAGCTCACACCCTGGCCAGCTACCTGTAGGCGGCCACAGGTGTGCTTGGCTCTGCCCTGCATAAGGCAGCGCACTAGGACGCAAGCCAGACCCCGTGGTGTTTGCAGGTGAAGCAGGAGAGCTGGGCCGGGGCATCTTCTCAGCATTCTACTCGCTTAGCTCAGGGCCACACCTTTGAAAACCTGCTTTCTGAGCCTTCAAAAATGCTTAAATTGCATCTTGCATTCTCTTAGACTTAATTTGACAATCATTTCAGGCTTCCAAATTATGATTCAACAGCTCCTACTTCAATGAGAATCAAAATGGCATTTCTTTTTAAAGCATAGAGCATTAATTGAGCGATTCCAGATGCAGATTTTTTACAAACCACTTTTTCCATCACTCCTGGTACTTCCGGGCTACGCTGTTAGCCACTGGAAAGTGCTTTCAGGCTGAGAACCTACGCTTGCAGGCAAAAGCTGCTGCCCCTCAAGTGAATGCGAGCTGCCTCTGAGTTGCTGTTTATTTCAGATAAGCTCCTCAGAGCCTGCTGGGGAACCAGCTGAAGCCGCCCGGTCCTTCTGCTGCCCCACTCAGTGACCTAGAGCAAGCTCTGCTCAGATAACCCCAGCTTGCCTTTGGATGCGGCCCCTCTGCCATTTGCGAGCGGGGTGTGAAGAAGCGTGAGCACACACTGTGCGTGCCCAGCATGCGCTCTCCCCTCCCCATGACCACAGGGCCCTCCTAGATGAGCAGCCATGGTCTTCCCCAGCGAGGGCCTGCTGCGGGAATCAGCCCCAGCGTGCTCCCTGCTTGCTGAGAGCAGTGAGGTCTCAGAGGCTTCCAGCTGCACTTAACGGCTTTGCCTCACCGAGAGGAGAACCTGCAGGGCTGCAGGGCTGTAAGCAGGAGCCCACGCCCCTGAGCTCAGGGCCAAGCTCAAGGCCACATTTCCTGGGTTACAGAAAATGAAACAGCAGTGAACGTGGAGTCTCGAGGGCACTGGACTCTACACTTCCCCCCTGAGGGGCGTCGAGGACAGGGCACAAGTGGGGCCCTGTGGCAGCAGCACTCAGCCCTCCCAGGCCTTTGTGCCCCCACCCGGACCCCCGCTCCCGCCCCCAGGGCATGCTCAGAGAGCGTTGTGGCCAGTGGTGTGTGGCCACCACTCACTAGGGGAGGCAGCACCCTGGGTCCACCTACTTCAGCTTCAACAGAGGGACTCTGAGGTCAGTGCTGTCTGTTAGGTCTTCCTTCTCTGAAGAGGCAGATGTAGACCAACCCGCCACCTCTCTGGTCAGCATGTAGCTGTGCTCCCACTCAGCCAAGCTGTTTTCCCATGATTCTGCATCAGGAATGAACTCAGGGTGGTGAGCACGCATGCTCCGTGACCTGAAAAATAAGAGCTGTGTGGTTATTATTTCTAAAATAGCTTCGACAAAGCAAGATTTCCTCTCAGTTATCAGTTGTGAGCCATCGTTGAGTCAGTCCTGCTCCTGGAAGGACCACAGAGGAAGAGGCACTCCTCTTTGTCTCTCTCTCTGTCTCTGCCTCTCACTGTCTCTGTCTTTGTGTCTCTCTGTCTCTGTCTCTCTCCCCTATGCCCCATGGGGATGGATTTCTCTTGATATCACAGGACACTTGACTCAAAGGAAATCTCCAAGTGTCACTCACGTCTTCAAAATGAGTGGTGGACCTTCCAAAAACATCTTTCTTCTATTCTCTGAAGTCTCTCACTACAGCTGTCTCTGGCTCCCACTCTCCTTGAATGTGCTCCCGCTGTCAGCACCTAGATCTGGCAGCTTGTCCTGAAGCACAGCGACTGTGCTGTGACCCTCCCCCAATGTGTAGCTCTTTCTATCGTGGAGCTGGCGGGAAAGTGGCCAACGTGGCCTTTCCACAGCACCCAGGACTATGAAAAGGAGTGAGGAAGACAAGTGCTGGGCTGGCTGGGCCCAAGGACAGGACCTGTGCTTCGAACAGAGTCAAGGGGCAACCTGAACTTTATCAGAGCTCCATGTGGACGCTGTAACTCAACTCATCCCAGACCGGAGTCCCGGCTTCTGAGCGATTCCCTACGCACTCGACTCTCAAAAGGCCGTGCCAGAGCCAGGATGTGCCTGTGCTCCATCGGATGCCAGCGTGGGCATGGCATTCATGTTAACAGCAGCTACACTCTGCTGCCACATGGCAGAAAGAGTGGTGCCACCAGAACCCCGCTAGCACAACAGGGCATGGTCATTCTTCCGGATACTTAACACAAGAAAAGAATCCTATCCACGAAAAGAAACCAAGAGACAGAACCAGGTTGTGCAATACCAGCATGAAGCAAGATAACAAATAACTGCGTGAGTAGTCAGCAAGCGTCTCCATCAGCTCCGTGACAGGAACATGGTTAGGCTCTGAGAAACAGCATCGCCTTCCTCCTAACTGCTGTGGAAACACCGCAACAATGAGAGCTGGAACTAAGAACGGCTTTTTATAGATGGAGAAAGGAACCCCCTCAGCGCCACGCCACGCTTTCTGAGGCACTGCTGTGCGCTAGACCGCACCACGGGAGCTGCTCTTCGCCCCGCCCACCTATCCATAGCCACGTGGCTCCTGACCATGAAATACACTATTGCAACTAAAAAGCTAAGTGCTTAGTTTTCTTCCATTTAAGTTAACTTAAAGTTTGCCAGCTACATTTGGCCTCGACGTTGGTTGGTATAGATGCACGCTTCTTCCCTCAATACCCTGAAAGGACACATTCTCTTCTGAAAATATACAAATCAATAATATTACCCTATTAAATCACTTGATCAAATCAAAACTTCAGCAAAATTAAGTTGCTAAAAGTAAAGCATTAGAAAGACCTTTCCTCGTACAGATGTGGTGCGGCCAGCCAAAGTTGCAGCTGCGCATCTCACAGAGCTACGGGGAACAGCCCCAAAATTCACTGGGAACCAGAAGAGACCTAATAGCAAAGGAAATTCCAGGCAAATCAAGGGGCCTCATGATTCCTGGCTTGAAATTATGTTATAAAGCTACCGTGACAAAAACACCATGATACTGGCAAAAAGAAAAACAGACCCAAGAAGCAATGAAATGGTTTAGAAGACACAGAACCAGCTCCAAGCATGCTTACCCACCTCGTCTTTGCCAACAGGGTCAAACAGGTTCACTGGAAGAAAGACAGCCTCTTAATGAATGGTGCTGGAAAAGCTGGCCTTCTGTATGCTGAAGATTAAACCTGGCCCCATAGCTCTCGTCATGCACTAAACTAAAATGAAAATGGACCAAAGACCTAAATATTAAAAACAGAACACTAAATCTGCTGGAAGAAAGAATAGGTAGAGCCCTTGAAGACATTGCTGTAGGCAAAGATTTTATACACAAAATGCCAATTGCACAGGAATTTTCACAAAGAATCAACAACTGAGATTTCATTAGAAAGCCTTTGCACACCAAGAGAAATCACTAACAGAGAGAAGAGACACCTCCACAGTGTGGGAAAAAAATTGCCAGCTATTCTCCAGACAAAGGGCTAGTATCTAGAATGTATAAAGAACTCAAAAACATCTGACCCCTCACATCTGAAGGCCCAATCCAAACATGGACGTCTGAGATGAACACACACTTCTCAAGTGACGAAGTACAAAGAGCAAATACAAAAACATGTTCAACATCACTGATCATCCCGCAACACAAAGCTAATCCAGGTACTATCTTGATGCTGAGATACTATCTTGATATTGAGATAGTGTCTTATGCAGGAAAGAATGGCTGTCATGGAGAAATCAGCTAATAAGAAATGTTGGCAGGGCTGTGGGGTAAAGGAACCCTTCTCCACAGCTGGTGGGAGTGCAGATTGGTACAACCGCTGTGGAAATCAGTGTGAGACTCCTCAAAATACTAAAACTAGAGGCTCCATTTGACTCAGCTATTCCTCTTCTGGGTATCTGCCTGAAAGAATTAGAGGTGTCGCACCACAGCGACATATGCACGCCTCTGTTTATAGGGGCACGGTGTGTCGTAGCTAAATCTGGGAACAGCCCAAATGCCCATCAACTGAGGAATGGTAGAGAGGCAGCTTTCTCATACACCAGAGCACTACTCTGCCACCAACAGCAGTAAGCTGGAGACACTCCTGCTTAAATGGACGCACTTTGGGGCCATACTCGTGAGCGAGACAAATCAGACACACGTGTAAATATTGCATTTGTTTCTCTGCTGTGAGAAACTCAAAGTGCGTAAATAAGGACAAAAATGTTTAACAGACATTAGGGAAAAAATGTTCAAATGAGAAGGGGAACCCTGGAGGGCAAACTGGGAAGCAGGAAGAGAAAAATAATGAGAAAAGAAGTAAAAAATGGAAACAAAGCTTTGCAAATAGGGAGAGGAAGAAGAGTTTATAGGGTGGGGGGAATGGGAGAGAAGGAACCAAGGTGTGTCGTGTGCAGGTGCAAATTCCCTAGGCTGGGCGTGCTCATTATGTAGCCCTAAAATGTTCCAATAAACATAATTAATTTTTAAATCATTTGTTTATTTCTTTGTTTGTTTGCTATAGGGTCTCTACACATCTCAGACTATTAGTGATCCTCCTGTCTCAGCCTCCCCAGCGCTGGGATTACAGCCATGTGCCACCTCTCCCAGTTTCAGTGGCCAGCATGGTGCACCTGAGGTTCCAGGCCCTAACAGCATGTGGTTCCTAGAGTCAAACTTGCCAAGCAGGTGCTTAGACTACCAAACTATTTCTCAAGCCATGAATGTAATTAATTTAGAAAACACCTTCCCACCACCACTACTTCTGGTCTCTGACAAAACTAAACAAAAAAAGGGGATATAAATGAAGGATCATTGTGTATTTGTATGTACAAAATAGTTAGGATAGATATACAGCTACTTTCTCTTAATTCAATGAGAAGAAAGATTTGTACTACTAGTATTTGGACAGGATATCACGTCTGTATCTTGTACTATGAATAACTACTACAAAGACAACAACATGCACTGTATTATTGTAACTGTCCTACTAGCCTGTTTTGAAACTGTTTCATTGCTATTTGTTTCTCAATAAAATTAATTTAAAAGAAAAAAAAAAGGAAACATTGTAAGCAGGATGACCGCTGTCCAGGTCGCTGGTTCGAGGCCCACTGATGCCTGGGGACATTCCTACACTCCCTGTGCTGGGCAAACAGGGACACATCATTGGTTTTCCAATGAATTGCAAGTTCTAAGGCACCTCAGGCCTTGACAGCTTAAAAATAATTAGAGAGAAAGCACTAAGGGACTAGATGTCCGAGATGTGTGTTTTCAAAGTTATTCATCAACAGAGGTGGAGGAGAATGAAGTATCGCACCATAGAGAAGCGATAGGCGGGAGTCGGAGGAAACGTCACGGCTATAGCCTTGGTGCTCCAAACACGCGGGTCTCAGCAGTGGCCAAAGTGGACTCCCAGATGCAGGATGAAGGAGGCGCAGAGCGTCAGACAGGACCACCACACGAGCAACTTCAGAAGAAAGGGCACGAGAGCGGGGTTTGGGAGCAGAGCCACAGCGAAGCAGCGTTGCCTCTTGGGAAGGAAGGACCGAAGTTCCACAGAGAGTGACAGCCTTGCCCCAAGCGGGACTGCCCTGGAGGCTGGGGAGGAGGGCAGTTCCTCTGCTCAGAGGGTGTGGCAGGATCCCTACAGACACTGCTGGGCGCCCATGCTTCCTGGAGGGATCAGAGAGGCCATCCCCGCTCGCAAATCCAGACTCCCCCAGCTGCCCGAATCCTGTGACTCGAGTCTCCAGAGGTCAGAGCGGCACAGTGTCAAGGCCCGTCAGCTGCGAGGCTGCCGTGTCCCCCTGACTGCAGGTGGCAGGAGGGAGAAGGTGGAAGCCCTGGTGAGGCAACAGAGCCCACCTGGACGCAGGTGCACGAGCCCACGGGGCGGGGAGGGGTCTCTGCGTCGTCACCAGGTTCATAGCGCGCAGGGAGCAGGCCTCCGGGAATTTATTGTGACCTGCTGACCTGCCGCCCGGTGAGACACTCAGAGCTGCGAGACTCGGGCTGTGCACGTGCGCCAGCTGACCACTGCACGATCATTCTGAAAGTCTTAAGTCACAGAAACGAAAAGCATGAACATGCAGTACCCGGAGTTGTCAAGGACCCGGCAGACACTAGGATGCAGGCAGCGCACATCTCGGGAAGAACGTCTCATCATAATTACCAAGGTATCGCCAAGAGATTTCATCGCGGGGAAAAATAATCTCACCCTTTGTCTTGTGAGGAATTCCGGAGCAGAGGCGTACTTTCGGTGAACTCCGGGTCTTGAGACCTGGAGCGGAAGAGCAGAGGCAGAGCAGGAGACCTGGAAAACACAGGGAAGGAGCGGGGTCAACACACAAGCGGGAGGTGTGCTGGAGTCGGGGTGCACTGGCCCTGGAGGCGGGGCCAAGGCTCTCCGAGCAGTGAGAAGCTGAGTTCAGGAGACGCTGGAGGTGCCCTCCGCTCCAGCTGCAAGCGAACTAAGCGGAAGCTCAGGCGGGCGCGCAGACCGGCCGCAGGGGCGCTTAGCTCGCGTTAGCAGCGGGGGGATTCCACAGCCGCACACCGGCCTTTCACGCGGAGGACGCTGTCTCCTGGGATCGCAACACCGTCCCCCTGAAAATGTCCTCGTGGCTTCCACTGGAGGAGCAAGCCCCAGACTTCAGGTCCAAGGGGTTAGAATAAACTGGTAAGCAAACGGCAGGGAGGAGCCCTCGGGGGCCAGCAGGCACCGCTGGAGCCCGACCGAGGGTCGCCCTGGGAAAGGCGGCCCCCAGAGCCGCTCGGGCTGTGCGCAGCTGCACGGCCACCACGAAGGCGTGATGCAGGCCGTGGGCCGCCTGCACAGCCTGCCGACACGGACACAAGAAGGCGCACGGCGCCCACTGCCACGCTGCTCTGAGGACGCGTGTTTCAACAAAGAGGTGAAAGGTGAATCCAGCGCAAGGGAATCCAGCTCCACCTGCCTTAGACCGCGAGGCGAGGCCTCCGCTGCCAGCTGGCACTGCGACAAGCCCAGCACGGCCTCGGGTACTAGGCGATGTCTCAGTGAGCCTGAGGGCATCGGGTGCTTTCTGTTGCCCCCTTGAGCAGCTGGGCACGTGGAACTCCGCGGAGAACTCACGGTTAGAGTGTCCTCCCTCGCTTCGAGCAACCTGTGCTTCCGTTTTCTCAGCTGGGTTACAGGAGGAAAAGAAAACTGGAGGAAAAAAAACCTGTCTTGCTGTTGCATTAAATAAGGAGAGGTGCAAAACGTAAAGACAGAGCTGGGTTCAATCCCCGGGGCCTGCGTGCCAGCCCCGCCCAGCCCCCCCACCCCCACCCCTGCACGCTGAGACTGCAACTGAGACTGGGGGTGGTGGCACACACCTGTAATCCCAGCTCTTGGGAGGCTGTAAACAGGTGGATCATTAGGAGTCCAATCTGGTAGTGAGACCCTGCACACCCTATAGACCCTTCCCTAAAATACAAAAAAAAAAAAAAAAAAAAAAAAAAAAAAAAAAATTTAAAAAGGCAAAGTTAGGTTGGGCCTGTGGGAAGGCTCAGCAGCAAGGTCCTGACTTGGATCTCCCGTTCTGGGGAAAAAAAAAAAAAATTGAGCCCAAGATAGAGTTGAGTCATTGGTGCAAGTATTTTCTTCACAGCCACAGTGTCGTTTCCATCTTGTTTTATCCGACGTCGAAGGTGGTGGCCTGCTCACTACAGGGCCTCAGTGAACACTGAATGCCGCAGAGGCTGAACTTCAGTGACCACGGGTGGCCTGCACAAGATAGGCTCTTTGACTCATGAACAGCTTTCCAAGTCAGCATAACGTCTCAGAACCAGCCTGACCCTCTGAAGACTGAAGAGCAGTCTTCAAAGGGAGCAGAGGCCCTGCTGCCCCTGGGAAAGCCGAAGCGCAGGCGACTGACAACGCCCAGCAGCACCATGCTGCACAGCCCACCGGAGCCACCTTCTTGCCATGAAAGACACAAATTTAGGAATGAGGGGAAAAGCCAGGCCTGGGGATAAATGTCTGTAATCCCAGCGTTCTAGGAGACTGAGGCAGGAGGATCACAAGTTCAACCAAGCTAGGACAATTCTATGACTCAGTAAGACTTTGTCTCAATTGTTTTCTTTTTTCTTTTTTTAAGAGGGCTGGGGATATAGTTCAGTGAAAGGTCCTGGTTTAAGTCACTAGTGTCACAAACAAAACACCGGGGAAAGGTCCAAAGTCCGTGATGCCATTTTATCTTCCCTGAGGAGGAGCGCCTCCTATGGCTGATTTCATTAGTTTAATATTCCTGCTGCTCTTTGAGAACACACGGCACTCTACAGTGGTAATGAAGTACACGGAGTGGCTGCTAGCCCCTTTTTGTGTAGTCGTATTTCTAAAGAATCAAAAATAGAATGAATTTACCCAGAAATCCCCCAAACTGAATTCAGGCCATTTTAGATTTCAACTTGCTCCCTTCCGGGTCCTATTTCTCTTTGGCCACAATCCACACCTGGCCACAAGGCACATGCAGAGGGGCCGTGGGCCCTGGCACCCGGCAGGCCCTGGCCGTGTCCACAAACTACGTGCACAGAAGATGCAGAGTCCCCCACAAACCAAGTGTCTTACAGCCCAGAAATCAGTCAGCCCCATAACTGAAAGCCTCATCTATTTTTTTACTTTATTGGAGCACACAATATTGATGAGATAAATAGTGTTCCTGCCCCTTTCGCTTCTGGAAAGAGAACTCCCACTGAAATTTCTCTCACTTTCACATCTCTCTGGCTTCACAATCTCAAGACTGTCTGTTTGCCCTCATGTCTCAAAAAAGTCAATGTGTACAATTGACAGGGGACTTCACATTGATAACCAGGTCATACTTTGAGTAACTTTGAAATTACAGAAGATGATAGCAAATTAAATCAGTTACATAATTCTATGATTCAGAGATATCCAATGCGAACATCTAGAGGAATTCCTCTCAGTTGTTCTTTCCCCTTGTGTAAGTGAATATTTTAAGTGACATGCAAAAATATGTGTGTGCAGCACATACCCACATATATAAATTGCCTTGCTCACTGTCTGGCTTAGCATTTCCATCTCATTAGCATTTCCTATGTTATTAAATATTTTTCCACATCATGATTTTAATGTTGGCTTAATGTTTCATAATGGCATAATCCATTGTATGGATTGCAACATTAAGCTTGGCTGTCTGCTGACAACCATTTGGAAGATTTCTGATTTTTCACTGAAACAGGTAACAAGTGCTCAGAGAGTCTCGGTAGACTTGTCTTGGTGGGTACCACATCCCCAGAAGGGGTCTAGAACTTACATGGTGCCCGTATCCTCCCGCCGGAAGACAGCTGGGCTCTAATACTACACCTTGCTGTCATAGGCAGAAACGAACCTCCAGCCCCTCCACCCTGGATCCTAGGCCAAGGCTAAATCCTCAAGCAGGAGTGTCAAGGAGCCAGGATGCACAGGTCTGTCCCAAATTTGCCACTGTGAGGAATCTTGCCGCCGCCACAACAGGTTCCAAAGCTTAGTACTCACTGATCTTCTACACAGTTCTCACTCCGTACCCCTGTATCTTCCTAGACCCAACACTGGACAGACCAATGGTGCTTGCTGAGGCAAAAGAGCTAAAAGTGTCGGAGAGCACGGGGCAGACAGCAGGCTCGAAGCAGAAAGCCCTCGAGCCAAATCAATAGCTGCAATCACCAGCTACAGCACAGCTCTATGAAGCAATCAGGAATCACCCAAAATCACTAGCTCAAAACCAGAGCAAGTAGCAGCGCAGCAGACGCCAGCTGCTGGGCGGTGGCTGCAGGAAGCGCGTCGGGGAGACCCTGCTTTCCGCTCCTGCTCCTCCAGGCCCAAGACTGGCTCCCTCCTCCGCGTGTAGTAATGGTCTCCCGCCTACTTTCGGGCCGTCTATGAGCGTCTACGCAGGTGGACGCATAGCCTCGGTCATTCTGAGCCTGGCGCGCTTCGCTCAGCCTGATGCTCCGCACATCCGGGCGTTTCCTGCAAGCGGCACCTTGCCCTCCTCCCGCAGCCGAGCACTACCAGCTGTGCACACGTAGCCCGTTCTCCGTCCTTCTCTGGTGGGCGTCTAGGCTATCTCTTCAGCTCGGCTCCTGAGCACTGCACCGCCGTAGACCCTGGCGAGCTGTGTTCCATCACCTCGAGAGTGTGCTAAGGACTGACGGGCACAGCTGGACTGGGAGAATCTCCTGGCCACTTTCTGCAGGGGCTGGACCCGCTTACCACGCTATGGGCAGTGCAGAGAGTGCGTTACTTCCCATCCTTGATGCTATTCATTCACTTTCTTTTCTGTACGACAGACAGGCATTCTTGGGTGAGATGACATCATGTAATTTTGACTTGCATTTCCCTAATTGCTACGATGTTTTTCCGTACACTTCACTGGCCATTTGCGCCCTCTCAAGAATTCTTGGTTCAATTCATTTGCCCACTTACTGGCTGGGCCTCAGTCTTTTGGGTTCTTTATATATTCTAGGTATTTTTTTTACTGAGCTGATTGTAGAGGTAAATGATGCATGCATGTGCGTAAAGCATTTAGAACAATGCTTGCGGTCCGTGTGTGGTAAGGACTCAGTAAATTTTCTTTTTTTAATCTGTTGGAAGAGTAGCTAGTGAAGATTTCCTCCCACTCTGCGGGATGTCCCTTCACTGTGTTGATTGTTTCCTTTGCTACGGAGAGGCTTTTAACTTGTTGATTCTTGACATTATTTCCTGATCTCTTTGGGTTCTGTTCAGGAAGTCTTTGCCTGTGCCTGTTGCTCTGGGGCCCCCATGTTTTCCCCAGCAGTCTTAGTTCCTAGCCTTGTATGTGGGCTCTATCTCTGTCGTGCTGAGGTTTAGCATGTAAGTGGCTTTGTCTCCGTGCCGCGCTTTGGCTGTGGGTGTCTCGGGTAAGTGCTGTGGAGGTGCCACGCCGCTGCCCACTGCGCCACCTCCAGCCCCAGCGCTGCCCTGTGAGGAGGCCACAGCTACCAGCAGCATCCACATCTACAGAACCAACCAGACATCAGTGCATAACTCAAGACCTGTTGAAGCAGTTCTCTACTATTTCACTAACCCAGGAAAAGAAGGAGAGGGGGGTGACGTAAGATAGTTTAGAAAACACTTTAACAATAATATTTATATGTAATCATAGAAGGGGAGAGGGATGGGAGGTTTGACAGGGTATGACAATAGGAGGAAAGAGGGTGGAAAATATAAATGGAAATTGTGAGAAAATATATCTAATCCATGAACTAGCAGAAACATGGGTAGAAAACCTATAGCGTAACCCCTGATGTGGGAGACATGGAAGAACAAGGCTAGACACTGCGGAAGCAAAGCGCAGCTCCAGCAGACTAAGCACCTGCTTAGGAAAGCTCAGGGACCAGGGTTCAATCCCCAGCACCCCATGCCACACCAGCCCTAACTCCAGGCGCGCTACAGCCACCAAGTCTGGGCATGGTGGTGCACGCCAGTAATCCCAGCGCTGGAGAGACTGAAAACAGGAGGATCACTAGAGTCTGAGCTGCATAGTAAGACCCTGTACAAAATACATTTTAAAAAAGGAAAAGAATAACATAAAACTGATCATAGTCAAGGGAAAAGCAGGAGTCAGTAAAAATGGCATTAAAAAAGTGTTCACAGAAATAATGGCAAAAAAATTCCCAAACATAGAAAAACAATTTGAAATATGGATAAGTGAGGCAGATGAAACTCCAGTTAGCCTTGATCAAACAAAATCTACCCTAAATCCACAACATATAACAATCAAGATCCCAGAAATTCAGCACAAAGAACAGAACATTAAAAGCTGTTAAAGAAAAGAAACCAATGATCTGTAAAGCACAGAATTATGGCAGACTTCTCAACACAAACCCTTACGTCAAGAAAAGTGTAAAGTGGAGTATTTCAAGACCTGAAAGAAAACAACCTCCAACCCAGATTGACATACTTTGAAAAACTGTCTTTCAGTATCCATGGATAAATATGATGCATCCACGACAAGGAACATCTGGAGAAATTTGTAACACCAACTCAGCTCTGAAAACTGTTTGGAA